TAGTCGCCTTTTCCCCGAAATCTTGCAAACAAGTAAAAGAGAGAACCTTATGTTAGGAGAATGGGTATTGAAATATCTCTATGATAAGGATAATTTTCTGAATAGGATTGGGATGTGATCACCTAAAGGGTGTCCTAATTCTGAACCCACAATTATACCTGAGCAGCAATCACTGGCAGTGGGGGTCGCCCACATGGAGAAATAGCTGACTCAGGGAAGCTGCACCTGGGGTCTCTGCAGGCCTTAAGTTGTACAGGAACAGCTCCTTTCTCAAGCTAAGGGGGAGGACAAACTGCCCTTTCTCTGGGGGAGGGCGGGTTAGCGTGTGGAAAGAACTAAAATAAACCACAAGGTAGGAAAAAAAGTAGTTTCAGTTTTAATTGAACAATTTCTCATTAGAAAGGCAATAATATGTTGGAATCTGGCACAAAATTAAGAAACAATGAATTTGGGGTAGTGTTGAATATTACAATTTTTGCACACTATGTTCTTAATTTACTATGTTATCTGAGAAAAAGAAGTAAAATCACAGGTTTTTTGTTTTTGTTTTTGTTTTGAGACGGATTCTCGCTCTGTCGCCCAGGCTGGAGTGCAGTGGCCGGATCTCAGTTCACTGCAAGCTCCGCCTCCCGGGTTCACGCCATTCTCCTGCCTCAGCCTCCCGAGTAGCTGGGACTACAGGCGCCGCCACCTCGCCCGGCTAATTTTTTGTATTTTTCATAGAGACGGGATTTCACCGTGAGATCATCCACCAGGATGGTCTCGATCTCCTGACCTCGTGATCCGCCCGCCTCGGCCTCCCAAAGTGCTGGGATTACAGGCGTGAGCCACTGCGCCCTGGCCAAAATCAGTTTTTATATACAAATCCATAAACAGTGTGCTGGCCCTGAGAATGCACCTCTTATCCGTCCAGCATCAGGGAGCCCAATAGACCAGGCCGCCAGCTGCTGCCCTGCACTCTAACACCCGTCACCTGGTGGGTGCCAAAGACACCCATGCAGGGAGCCCCTCCCGGACAGCATGGCTGCTGCTGGGACACATGCGAGATCCCTGATGGACACTTGTGCTCAGGGAGGCACTAAAGGTCTTGCTGGACTTAGCTTGTAGTACAGGGTTGTTAGGGAAGCTCCATCAAATTCCCAGTCTTCTCCAGCCCTAGTTGTGAGACTGGCATTGTGGGGTGGCAGTGTCTACAGCTTCACCCCACTCCTGCACATTCTTATGCCTCCAATACTTACATCTGTTCTGGGGATATATGAGTATGTTTCCTCTTTTTAATTAAAGTTTTCTAATCCAGGGCCTTCATGGTGGGCCCAAAACATAAATGTACAGAGGCTCTGAAGGGAACTGTTAGATGCAGAGGAAGCCACAGACCCTGAAGAAAAGCAGCCCTTGACCTCCATGTGCACCTGCCCTGGGGCTGCACCTGTTTTGTGAGTACTGAGTGGCCCCTTCAGCCCAGACTCCTTTCTTCTTTCTGCAGGGAATTTTGCATCTGAACTCACATTGATGTTTCCTCACTTCAAACCTTATGTACAGCCATACATGGCGATGTCCTCAGCTCTCTGACTGTTCATTTGCAGATACAGTGAGTTCTTAGCATTGTCTTTGGAGATGGTGAATCTGCCCTTCAGAGAGTCTGCATGGCATATCTGACTTCCATCATATTTTATACCTATTACTTACTCCAGCACCTTCCCTGGAGACTGGTGAACTCAGCTAATTCAGAAGCTACTGCAGGCGAATCTGGAGGCTACACACGAGAGTCTCAGGAACTTCCCAGGTTGTCTCAGGTCCTCTATGGACTGAATCATCTGCACCTCACACTGAACCCCTGAAAATACGCACACATCCTGGTCAGAAACTGCCAAACATATCCACTGTTTCTCTCACTCATATCCACTCACTCTCACTCACTCTACTTCTCTGTGAGTCACCTTTTAAAACAGCAACAAGAAAAAATCAGCTTAGCTCAAACCCCATAGTGAGTCCTCTGTGTTCAGTGCTGGTTACCAAATGGAAACCCCTGGGAATCCCAGGGCTGTGGCTCTTCTCCCAGAGCTGCAGGTTCAGGTCTGGGCTTGTTCTCACCAGAAGAGGGTTGGCCCTGTTTTCATGTCTCCTCCTCCATAGCAAGCTCTCCTGTGGGATGACTGAAGAGAAGGCAGTGCCCAGAGCAGATGTGAGACTCCTGGAGTTTAGTGGCAATAAAAGGGTTTAGAGAAGCATAATTACTTAATATGTGATTGTACCATGAAAATTTACTTAGCAATATCTTTTGTATCTTTTTAACATATTTTTAAAAATATAAATATATCTGCATTAAGCAAACTTTAAGAGATATAAAAAGAGAAATAGAAAACAATATAAAAGTAAGAGAAGACCTTAATACCTCACTTACAATAACATACAGCAAATTCAGAAAGAAAAATTTTAATGAGCCTCTGAACTTGGACAACACCATTGAGCAAATTTACCTAAAAGACATTGACAGAAATTTGCAACGAAGGCCCATGTAATACACATTCTTCTCAAGTACACATTGAACATTTTCCATGATAGGTTATATGCTACATAATAAATTGAGTCTTAACATTTAAAGAGTCCGAGGAGGGTAGATCACGAGATCAGGAGTTCCAGACCAGCCTCCAGCCTGGCCAATATGGTAAAACCCTGTCTGTACTTAAAAAAAATACAAAAATTAGCTGGGCATGGTGGCACACACCTGTGTTCCCAGCTGCTTGGGAGACTGAGGCAGGAGGATCGCTTGAAGCTGGGAGGCAGAGGTATCAGTGAGTCGAGATTGTGCCACTGCACTCCAGCCTGGGCGACGGAGCGAGACTCCCTCTCTAAATAAATAAATACATAAATAGATACTAAATAAATAAAAAGTAATGCCAATGCTTCCCTAACTCTTTCAAAAATTGGTGAGGAGTCTACCTTCCAAACTTTTTCTCCGAGGCTACCATTGTAGCATTACCAGTAATAAACAAAGGCACCACAATAAAAGAAAAATACAGACTAATATCAATAGTAGACATAAATTAACCCCCCAATGATAGTAAAATAAATTCTAAAGTTTTTTTAGAAGACCATACACCATGATCAACTGAAATTTATTCCTGAGACACACAGATGATTCAACATCCTCAAATGAATCAATTTGACACACCACATTAAAAAACTAAAGAAAATATCTCAGTAACATTTCATCAAAGAAGAAAACATTTGAAAAAATTCAGGGTTTCATGATAAAAACTCTGAACAAAATACAAAAACAAGAAAAAAAACCTTGTACATGTTAAAGCAACTTCTACAACTCAATAGCAAAAACAAAAATAGCCTAATGAGTAAATAATCAGTTTTACACCTTTAACAGTATCAGACACTAGAACTCATGTTAAATGTTTTTCTCCATGAGTAACAGTCTATCTTGTGGTGTTCTTGGCTGGACAATACTTTGTAGTTATTTGATCAAACACTAATCCAGGTGAGGGTGTGAATTTTTAATAGACATTATTAAAAGTGTAATAAGCTGACCCTATGTTAGGCAGATTATCATCGATAGCCAACGAGGCCCTGATTCCATCAGAGCAGAGCTGGAGGCCAAACTCCATGGTGATTAAGCAGCTTCAGCTGTTTCTGAGACTTCCAGCCTGCACTTTCTGATGGCCGGCCCTGAGGACATTGGATGTTTCCAGCCATCCTCCAAATTCGTCATCCCCTACATCTCACCGGAAAGTGGCGTGTCCATCTGTAGCTTGTCAAACCTAAATTTCAGACAGAAAGAGACTCTCTAAAATCAAATCATATTTAAATGAAAATGAGCATCGCAAGGGGATCATCCATGGGCATATTTAAGTTGGTAAAAGAAGACAAGTGTTTTAAAAGATAACGAAGGAGGCTTACCTGAGCTGTTTTCAGACAATTGTTGTGGGATAGAATAATCAATTACAAGGGTGGAATCAGTTTAAGTTTGGACAGGGAGTTGCAGGGCAGATACCCCACAGTAATTCTCTTATTGTGGTGGTAGCCTTTGTTCAAGGTTGTGGCTGTGCAGAGTATTTTTATGATAGCTCTTGTTATCAGGGATGTGCGCATGAGAACCCTCTATTCATGACGTTCTCCAGCTTCACCTGTAAAGATTATAACACGAGTATCTCCATTTTGATTCTGACAACTTTCACACCCTCTTCCTCACACCACTAGTGAAGAACGTTACTGTGTGCAGGTTTTTGAGAACAGGATTAGAAACACACCCACGTTATTAGGATTAGAAACGTATCCCACGTTAACCAAAGAAGCTTGTCCCCTTCAGTCCCCACTGGCAACTTGCATTTCCAGATGAGTCTCCATGCAACACAGTGGAGGGTCCTGAGTGACAAGGAGTGAAGAAAGTCCCACCAGCCTCTCCCGCGTGACTGCAGCAGCCACAGCCTGAGACCCACCTGAGCGCCAGGAAAGGGCTTGAGGCCTGGAATTTTGACCACAAGGAAAATATCTTCCTTTTCCAGAAAGCAGGAAAAGCAAATGGAAAACTGAGAATAACAACTAAAAAGAAAATAATTGAATTAGGAGCAAAAGAAGCACCAGATCAGTGTGATGCTGATTTGCATACTTCAGTGTCAGGAGAAGGGCCAGACGTGAAACCTGTGAGGTTCTACATGACACTGACCCTGGCCCAACCTCTCTATTGTCTGTGACCAGCATCTGTAAAGACTGTTCTAGTCAGGGAACCTCACTGAGGTCCCTGTCCTGGGCCTCACTGGAGAAGACTCACTAGGAAGCCCTGAGCTTACTCAGGACTCTGATCCTGGTGACCGTGGTTGAGGACTTTTCATCCCTGTAAGCATCAACCCACATTTGTGCAAGTGAGAATAGCTCTTCATACTAAACTAATCTCTCTCAAATACTTAGAGAAGACATTGTTAGGCACAGAATTCTAAACTTAAGAGAGGTTCCCTGGGGAAACTGTAAGAAGTAGAGGAAGCCCCATATCCTGACAGGAAATCAGCCTCCGTCTGCACCTGCCTCTGGGGTTGACTCTGATCAGTGGGTCCCGAGCGCCCCCTGACGCTGATTTCCCCCCGCGTTCCTGCAGGGAGGTTTGTGTCTGGGCTCACACTGACTTCCCCTCACTGTGTCTTTCGCACAGTAATAGACAGCCGTGTCCTCAGCTCTCAGGCTGTTCATTTGCAGGGAGAGCGTGTTCTTTGAGTTGTCTCTGGAGATGGTGAATCGGCCCTTCACGGAGTCTGCGTAGTATATGCTACCACCAGTATTACTAATACCTGAGACCCACTCCAGCCCCTTCCCTGGAGCCTGGCGGACCCAGCTCATGCCATAGCTACTGAAGGTGAATCCAGAGGCTGCACAGGAGAGTCTCAGGGACCCCCCAGGCTGTGCCAAGCCTCCTCCAGACTCCACCAGCTGCACCTCACACTGGACACCTGCAAACACAGAAACACCAAGGTCAGAAACTGCCACACAAATCCACTGTTTCTCTCACTCATGTCCACTCACACTCAATCTCTCTATTTCTCCATGAATCACCTCTTAAAATAGCAACAAGGAAAACCCAGCTCAGCCCCAACTCCATGGTGAGTCCTCTGTGTTCAGTGCTGATCACCAAATGGAACACTGTGGACTTCCAGTGCTGGGCTCCTCTCCCAGAGCTGCAGGGTCAGGGCTGGGCTGGTTTTCATCAGCAGAGGGAGGGCCCTATTTGCATGTCCCCCACTATATAGCAGGCTCTGGGGTGGGACATCTGAGGAGAGGCCAGGCTCACTGCAGATAAAGTGACCTGGGGGAGATTGGTAGTAATTCCATGATTCAGGAACATATAATTTTATATTACATGATTGTGCCTTGACTAACATTTAGCTCTCACAGTCTGATTTTATTTTTACGTATTTACACTATATATTTAATGCAGGTTTTAATGTAATATTTTACAGAACATAATTTACATAGAGAACACAGCAGTTGTGCGGTGTGTCTAAGATTACACAACTAAAAATATTTAGTCCTATTTTCTGGGCCTGTGCTCTATTCACCAGAGGAGGCGGCTCCCCTAAGACAACTACCGGACAGCATGGACCATGCCTGGTGAAGTCTGCAGGATTCTCCATCTGTTATGACAACTGTCTGTTATTTACCCAAATATTTAGAGAGAATCATCGTTTGTGTGTGTATTTTCCAAAGTCAGTCATGTTTCTTGTGTCAATGTCAAACTGTTTATGGCTCCATTTCAGCAAAATGTTCATTTATTTATTTGGTATTGCTTTATTCAAGTGTAAGAAATAAATAATTAATTCAAATTTATAGTGAATTATTTGAAAAATGTAGACCTATGTTTGCAACTATTCAATCAGCACTTCAATCAAGTTTTGAATAATTGAATTAATCCCTAAATCTTCTCTTATTCCTCTGAAATTTAACTCACATCCTCATTACTCCCAGCACCATGTTCTCAGAAAAATTTAAATCTTCTCCATGTTAATTTATAATAGTGGCACCTTCTAAAATTTCTACAAATGTATCATATAAAATTTACTCTTAATTCCTTAGTGTTTTTTACCTAGCACAATTCTTTGATAATTTAGCCGTGGTTTTATATGAGTGAGGCATGACTTGATTTCACACTGCATCATATTCCAGTACCTAAATATATGTCAAACTATTTAATTGTTCACCAGTGACAAAATGTGGTTTGTGCTCTCAGTTAATGGATTTTATAGAGAAAAGCAGCTACTCAGCATGGCATGATCTTATTCCTACCTCTTTAACTACCGAGCTGAACAACTACAAATAAAGAAAAAGCGTCCAACATATCTGAGTTGATATCAAAGAGAAAAACAAACAAACCAACCTGAAATCTGAGGAGAGAGGAGCCTGCAGAGAGAACCAGGACGCATATATTAGTGTACCTAGGGCAGTAACCACAGGATGGTATTTAACATAGGAACAGGCTGACTTGAAAATATTCAGAGAGTTGTTGAGGATGCATATGCTCATAGTGTTAGACTGTGAAGCTCCTAGTGCTTGCAGGTTTTTCCTACACAATTATCATTAATTATTCTTGCAGTACTTTATGCAAATAATCAGGCCATGTATAAGACCAAAGTTTATTTTGCAAACAAATCAGTCCTACAATCAGTTTCTGACAAAAATCAGAATTGGAGAGAGAAAAAAATATGTCTCAAAATGTATCATACACTCATTTTTAAGTTCTAATCTCTTCAGTTGCTTTAAGTATGTGCTTCCATTTTAGACTAACTCTGCTTATTCCTGTGAACCAACCAATGATCTCCGGCTGCAGCTCAGAAGAAATAAAGGCATGGGGAATATAAACATCTGGATCAATATTTTAATTCTGAGCAATTATCCTGCAAATCACACCAGGTGATGGGATTAAACAGGGTCTCCCTATCCCGGAGGTTTCTTTGTTTGGGAAAATAAGACCAAGGGAGCTGACAAAAGCCAAGCCCCATGCCCAGATCTCAGCAGGCGCAACTACAGCCACCAGTTATCTGGGCGTGTCGCAGCCTTGGAAGTTGTATTCAAACTGTCTCATCACCTTGGCTGGTTTTGATACACGCCTTCTAATAACCCGGTTTGTCTCTTCTCATCTTCAGGCCATCCAAATCCAAATGGTCATCCAAGTGAAGCCTGAGATAATGGCTCCCTTTTACTGGGGTCCCATAGGCAGGCCTCCAAGGGAGATCTTCCCGAAGCAGCATCCTGCATCAGCTGGAAGCAGTTAAGCTTGGCCTTTGTCTCTATTCTAATGGCAGTTAGATGCACTTCTTCAAAGAGGAAAATGATAGAGGCAGATGGCAGATAACTCTCCTAGGCAGACAGGGGAGAGGCCCCAAAGAATGTCCAACCCACCAAGGTCATTGTGCACAGGGGGCTTGCCTAAACGTGCCCGCAGGGGAAATAGTTAATGCTGTATCTCATCACTCTCTGATAAAATGGCCACACGTAACTATCTTGCTGCGTGAAGATAAATAACTACTTTGAAATTAGAACAAGTCCCAAGTAAGGTCAAAGTTAGCATGTGGTTCATAATGTGATAGACAGGAGACACGGCTGAATACGAAGAATGTGTTCACATCTATTTTATGTCAAGATCAGGAAAATCTTTTGTATATTATTTAGGTAAGAGTCCCATTGATATCATTGATTTAAGATTATATATTGATGCATAATACCACAATAATAAAAGTAGAGGTTATTAACCAGTAATTTGTATTACTAGTACAAACTTCCATTTAGGATCTATTATTCTGGGTGTTGTGAAACCAACTCAGAAGGCAGAAACCTTTGCACTTATCACAACTTTTTAATAAATTAAAAATTAAAATTAAGTACGTATATTTCTAGATGGTGCAAAACTTTGGAATATTTTTGCAAAGACAGAGGGTTCTTACGTCTTCTGGAAATCCTATCAAAATGGACAACAATGGAAGAAACTTTCAGATGAATTTCTACCTACTAGAGATCTGATTAATAGAATTTTAAAGCAAATGCTAACACACAAACAAAAAACTAACAAGGAAGCTAAAAAAAATTGTGATTTAATACACCAAACATTGTAGCTCAACCTAGCTTATAACATAACTTATAACATAATCTAACCGTGGAGGGCACTGTCACTGTTCATATAAGACAGAATCAGCCCCACTCACAATCTTGTGGGAATGTTTAAAAAATGGCATCTCTATATTAAAATTACCAAATCTGTAATAAAATGTATAACTCCCTTGGCCAAAGGTTCTCCCACTGGCACTATGGAATCATGGTCCACTCCTCAGGGTGCATCAGTTATTACCCTGTGACTTGGCAGCTAAAAGGCCTATGCGTTTATAGACTTTACCCCCAGAGATCATCCTTGTCGTACTGCATGTGTGATGTAAACTCCAACCATGAAGAGTTTGAGGCAGCCTTTTTACTACATCTTTTCTACAGACTCTTGTGATCTTCAACAAGAAAACTGGAAGGAACATCAGCGGAAAATACTGCTCTTGAATCATATTGGAAGGAATCTTGTCAGATCCTTTTAACTAACTCACTGCAGAAAACATTCAGGCAATTAATTACTGGGTTCATTTGCAACTAAAGAATCAGTTCAGGCCAGATTCAGTGGATCATCCGTATAATCACACCACTTTCAGGAGCAAAGTGAGGGAAATCCCATGAGACCAGGCAATCAAAACCAGCCTGGGCAACATAAAGAGTTCCTTTTCTTTGAAAAAATAAAATAAAAAATAAGGAGAGGAGGGTGGCCTGCCCCTCTAGTTCTAGATATTCAGGAGGTTAAGATGGGAGGAATATGTGAGTCAGGAGTTCAAAATTACAGCGAGCTATGATCACACCACGGCACTTTAAACTGCATGACAGAGTGAGAGCCTGTCTCTAAAACAAACAAAAAAAGAAGCAATTAAGAATTCCACACAACTGTAAAGCTACTCAAATAGGAAATGTTAAACTAAGCACCTTCATAGGTTCTCTGGCGTTTCTGATGTTTTTAAGCAGACGGCTGACCTAAGACCTGCAAAATAAGCTGATAGTCCTTGATTGTGAGAAGCTTCTACCCAAGACATTAGACCAAGACTCTGACTAATTCCCCATACCCTCCTTCTTTTTCTCATTATTCTTTGCTTATATTTCTAAAGTCATCTCATTTCTGTAGAGCCAGGTGCTGTCCACCCATACTGAACGCTTATCTTCTTTCTTATTATTTTTATTCCTGCTACATAGAATAAGTTGTCACACTATTTTTTGGCGCATGACTGCTGCTGAATTAAGTCTTACTCCTCCATCGTCTCCTTTTTTGCCACACAAGGTGAATTTAGTTTGGAATCACAGGATCATCTTCATTCAATGCCAGTGGGAGTTTCAAACCCTAAAAACCCCTTTCCGTGACTGGGAACATTCACTCTGCTCCCAGGACCAAACCATTATAAAAACACTGAGCCAGTCTCCTTTCCTATTCTTTCAAGCCGTTTTAGATTTTCCTGGGAAACCTGCCCTGCACTCACCAGACACCTATAGAGTGCAAATGATAAACTTTTCCATATTCACTTGCTCTGAGTATGTGACTTCATCAGACACGACATTCAAACTAAATCTTAGCTGTGATCTCTTCGCTTTTCCTGGTGTCAACTACAACTGATGGTGTGAGCTTGTTGTCACTGTTTCTATCAACAGGACACACTGGATTCCTGAAACAGCTCTAGGACAGAGCTGGGCATGTGATATAGATTGATTTCATATCCCCATTTAAGTATCATCTCAAATTGTAATCCCCACATGTCAGGAGAGGGACCAGGTGAGAGGTGATTGGATCATGGGTCCAGTTTCCCCATGTTGTTCTCATGATAGTGAGTGAGTTCTAACAACCGCTGATGGTTTAAAAGTGTGTATCACATCCTCCTCCCTCTCTCCTGCTGCCCTGGGAGATGTGCCTTGCTTCCCCTTCACCTGCCACCATGATTGTAAGTTTCCTGTGGCCTGCCCAGCCATGAAGAAATGTAAGCCAATTAAACCTATTTTCCTTGTAAACTACTCAATCTAATGTAGTTCTTTATACCACTGTGAAAATGAACTAATACCACATAACTGGTGGAGTTTGATAAATTTTCTTAGTGACATAAAATTATGCCATTATTTTTCTGTATTCTAGTATTTCTCTAAAAATACAGAGATGCCCAGGGTTCATTCATGTGTATATTCAAGAGTCTCTGACTTTTCATATATTTTATTTATCTCTAATTCTTTTGATACCAAATTATACCTGCTATAATTA